TGAGGCTGTTAACTCTAATGAACTTATCCTTTGCAGCAGAGGTAACTCTGGGTCTTCCCTTCCTGTGGCTGTCCTCATGAGAGCCAGTTTCATTATTGTGCTTGATGGTTTTTGCAACTGCACTTGAAGAAACTTTAAAAGTTCTTGAAATGTTCCATATTGACTGACCTTCATGTCTTAAAGTAATAATAATATGCCATTTAGCAGACACTTTTATCCAAAGCGACTTACAGTCATGTGTGCATACATTTTTACGTATGGGTGGTCCCGGGGATCGAACCCACTACCCTGGCGTTACAAGCACCATGCTCTACCAATTGAGCTACAGAGGACCACTAATGATGGACTGTTGTTTCTCTTTGCCTACTTGAGCTGTTCTTGCAATAATATGGTATTTTACCAAATAGGGCTATCTTCTGTATACCACTCCTACCCTGTCACATCACAACTGATTGGCTCAAATGCATTAAGAAGGAAAGAAATTCCACAAATGAAATTTTAAGAAGGCACACCTGTTAATTGAAATGCACTCCAGGTGACTACCTCATGAAGCTGGTTGAGAGAATGTCAAGCATGTGCAAAGCTGTCATCAAGGCAAAGAGTGGCTATTTGAAGAATCTCAAATATAAAATATATTTCGATTTGTTTAACACATTTTTTGGTTACTACAGGATTCCATATGTGTTATTTCATAGTATTAATTTCTTCACTATTATTCTACAATGTAAAAAATAGTAAAAATAAAGAAAAACCCTTGAATGTGTAGGTGTGTCCAAACTTTTGACTGGTAGTGTATGTAAATAAGGTATTTCAGTTTTTTTTAGAAATTTGCAAAAATGTCTAAAAACCTGTTTTCCCTTTGTCATTATGGGGTATTGTGTTTAGATTTATTAGGATATTTAAAAAAAATCAATTTTAGAATAAGGCTGTAACGTAACAAAATGTGTAAAAAGTCAAGGGGTCTCAATACTTTCCGAAGGCACTGTAGGTATATGGTATATCTAGCTGTCCGATAACACATTCTGATGGAATGGTTTGTCCTGCACTTTGTAAAAACCCACAGTGCATTGAGTGAATGTTGGAAATAGATCTTAGTTCCTTTCTAAACATAGCAATGTGAATGCAAAGAGGACTCGGACTTTGTAGAGCCAGCTTTTGCAGCAGTTACAGCTGCAAGTCTCTTGGGGTATGTCTCTATACGCTTGGCACATCTAGCCACTGGGATTTTTGCCCATTCTTCAAGGCAAAACTGCTCCAGCTCCTTCAAGTTGGATGGGTTCCGCTGGTGTACAGCAATCTTTAAGTCATACCACAGATTCTCAACTGGATTGAGGTCTGGGCTTTGACTAGGCCATTCCAAGACATTTAAATGTTTCCCCTTAAACCGCTCAAGTGTTGCTTTAGCAGTATGCTTAGGGTCATTGTCCTGCTTGAAGGTGAACCTCCGTCCCAGTCTCAAATCTCTGGAAGACTGAAACACGTTTCCCTCAAGAATTTCCCTGTATTTAGCTCCATCCATCATTCCTTCAATTCTGACCAGTTTCCCAGTCCCTGCCAATGAAAAACATCCCAACAGCATGATGCTGCCACCACCATGCTTCACTGTGGGGATGGTGTTCTCGGGGTGATGAGAGGTGATGAGGGTGTTGGGTTTGCGCCAGACATAGCGTTTTCCTTGATCGCCAAAAAGCTCAATTTTAGTCTCATCTGACCAGAGTACCTTCTTCCATATGTTTGGGGAGTCTCCCACATGCCTTTTGGCGAACACCAAACGTGTTTGCTTATTTTTTTCTTTAAGCAATGGCTTTTTTCTGGCCACTCTTCCGTAAAGCCCAGCTCTGTGGAGTGTACGGCTTAAAGTGGTCCTATGGACAGATACTCCAATCTCCGCTGTGGAGCTTTGCAGCTCCTTCAGGGTTATTTTTGGTCTCTTTGTTGCCTCTCTGATTAATGCCCTCCTTGCCTGGTCCGTGAGTTTTGGTGGGCGGCCCTCTCTTGGCAGGTTTGTTGTAGTGCCATATTCTTTCAATTTTTTAATAATGGATTTAATGGTGCTCCGTGGGATGTTCAAAGTTTCTGATATTTTTTTATAACCCAACCCTGATCTGTACTTCTCCACAACTTTGTCCCTGACCTGTTTGGAGAGCTCCTTGGTCTTCATGGTGCCGCTTGCTTGGTGGTGCCCCTTGCTTAGTGGTGTTGCAGAATCTGGGACCTTTCAGAACAGGTGTATATATACTGAGATCATGTGACATTTAGATTGCACACAGGTGGACTTTATTTAACTAATTATGTGACTTCTGAAGGTAATTGGTTGCACCAGATCTTATTTAGGGGCTTCATAGCAAAGGGGGTGAATGCATATGCACGCACCACTTTTCCGTTATTTATTGTTTTGAATTTTTTGAAACAAGTACTTTTTTTCATTTCACTTCACCAATTTCGACTATTTTGTGTATGTCCATCACATGAAATCCAAATAAAAATCCATTTAAATTACAGGTTGTAATGCAACAAAATAGGAAAAATGCCAAGGGGATGAATACTTTTGCAAGGCACTGTAGGTAACGAGAACTGGCAAAAGAGTTGAGTCCTCATTTAAAGGCAAGGACAGTGTGAATAAAAAAGAGAACTGAGATATTTTGCTTTTTTTTACCCCAGAATTCACTTTAAAGAGGACTGAGATCGGTTATTTTAAAGAGGACTATATGTGAAAACACCCTGAGGCTCCGTGGAACAGAGCTATCCACCACACAACACATACAAGCAACAGCATGACACCCCAGTCCACAGTGATACTGTCATCAACAGGCAGGCAGCCACAGTAGGCTACAGGCAGAAGACAACAGGCAGCCACAGTGGGCTGCTACAGGCAATGTCAGGCAGACCAGAGGAACTGAAATGGGGAGTGCTGCCTGTCAGTTGACTTGATGTAACGACCGCCATTACTGCTGCCTGCCTGCTGTGTGTTCTGGACCTTTGTGTCGATCTATCAACGTGAGTGTAGCGCGTGTGTGTGTGTGTATATGCATGTGTGTCCAACTTGATAAACACTGTGTGTTCACTGTCAACTGTGAAATCTAATGGGGGAGAAGGGGAAGATAAAGACTGGCATTCTGTTTCAGACTTTCAGTTGTGAAAGAGAGAACGCCATTGCAATACACTTCCTTGTTTTGACAAGATTACACTGAATGTAACACTTACAACAAGTGTTCTCTAGTCACCTCTCCTCATGTGGTATATTATGCATGCAACACTGTACACACATCAGCAGATCCTCTCATAGGGCTATGTGTGTGTGGCTTCCTCCATTGTGCAAACACAGTGTGCTCTAAAATGGATAGGGCCTACACTATAACAATCCAGTTATTGATACAGCCTCCCCAAAGGCCAGTAGTGTATGTGGCATTGACAGACCATTTTCTTTTACTAGCCTATAACTAGCCTGGCCTGGGGCAACAGCACATCTCCAGAGAGCAATCAGGAGCAGATCTGGATGCCAGGGATGCCATAGAAGTACCCATTGTGATCTACCGTGCATGACAGTAGGCCTAATGCCAACAACACAAGGTTAATGTCCCAAATGGCATACTATTCTCTTTATAGTGCACTACTATAGACCAGAGCCATATCGGTGCCATTTGGGACATATCAAGGAAAGCCAATTCCACTGATATGGAAGTGTGAGGGACCCACTGTGTATTAAAGGTGTGGTACTACTATTCAAGTTTGTAAAGGGCTCAAGTCTCTTTAACGTGTGGAAGTGTCCACACACTGTTTTCAAAGTGAAACTGCCTCATAGGCATTAGGCAAACAGATAAGATAGCTTCCTCACAACCAGGTAAAGCATTTTTGCATGAGTCACAGAGGTCATTGTAGCCTACAATAATTACATCTTTACAAAGGAATGTTCAACAAAAATGTTGGTCTATAGGTTGCTAATTAGAATTGGGTTAGAATTAAATAGCCTATAAACTAGGGTGTTTTATGAGCACTTGTTGGTGGACACTTTTGGGGAATGGCATGGGCGAGGTTCAACACAAGTAGGTTAAGAAAAAAATGCTTTGCTTTCGCAGAGGAAGTCTTTTTCCGTTCCTCTTTTGGTTTCAGAGGTTGCATCCGTATCAAATAAATATGGAAAAATTCGGTTACTTTTTGCGTAAATGCTATCCGTGCGTAAAGGCGCACATTTGATTCTAGGAAAACCTTTTAACAATTTCAAGTCAATTACAGTATATTACTACTTTTCATACCGCCGTGGCCTACACCCACCTCTTCCAATGCTGCCACGGCGTTCCGACAATGCGACATCCGAGTGGTGAAGTTTGAGGTTGTGGGCGCTTTGTAGTCCTCCTTAGTTTCGGCCACAAATTCCGTGACCGTGATCAACTCCGGCGGCGGCATCTTAGCGCACTTTAAATGCGTTTCTGTCTATAAAATAAGTTATATCCCAATCCTTAATTAACAGTTAAACAAAAAAAAGTTTTTAAAAATGCGATTTATAATTCAGTGTGCCATTGGATTTGTTAGGCTACTCCTAGTTTGCCATTCCGCGTCGATCCACATAGTCAAAACTACAGTAGTGAAATGTCCCTTTATTTGTGGGTTATCCTTGTGTCCAAGAAAAAAATACTACAATATTCCATTATTACAGTTTGTCTTAGCCCACGCAACAACCTGTACTGGTCGCATAGTCAGTGGAGCGTCAACCGGAGTATAAAAAGGGGAGGGACGAACGGGGTGAATTGGCATGTTTGGGCGAATGGGAGCGCAGATGGATTCCCCTTTCCACAGTTGGCTTTCCAAGACTCACTAGCAATGACAGCTATTACAAACTTTGTGTATAAGGTGGCTCAGGTCTACGCCATAGGAATGACAACTATTTATGAAATATTATTTATTACATTTCAAAATGGTGTACCCCATAAATAGAAATATAGCCAGGATGTTGCACATTGATATAAGTAAAAAAACTAAGGGTTAGATATTTGTTTTTATATACAAGTGAGTTTATTCATAGGATGCATTGGAAGTGTTTTCTTAATAAGTAATAACAGATTATAGAAAGAAAAAAAAACATTAGAAAGACAAACAAAAGTTGAACTTTTAATAGGGCATTCAGAATAGTCCGATGAAAAAATAACAAAAGCAAAGAACATACACATCATGTTCAAATCCACTACGGTACATCATGATACTGCTTGGAGAATTATAATTTCTGTACATAAGCATGTGTTACTTTCTAATGACTATAGCTGTCACATTTTGCACACATTTTAAGATGATTTAAAAGTACATTATTACAGTAGTAGTGTACTGCAACCACACAACTCACTTTAGTAAACTCAAAACTACATGTATAAAAATAAAGCTTGTGATTTCATGACTTACGTGCACTTTTTACAATGAAGTCATACATTCCTCCACTTACTTTGCTTTAATCGTTGGCATTTTACACAGATTTTTTGTTTGTTTTTTTTATGACAAAAATGGCCTCTTCCCAAAGTGACAATGTCAGGATGTGGAGTCCAAACAGTGAAAAAAAAAACATCCAATGAGGACAATGTGACAGTGCAGCATGCTACCATGACGACAGACTATCCACTCTGTACAGCATTCTGTGATGCAGAGGCCCCTACAGAAAGAGAGCAATTAACAGTTGATTTGTTGACCACACCAAAATGTCTACTTTCATAACTTTCTTTTTGTGAGAAAACTGACCTCATTTGATACAGTATCCCCCAAGCCTATTTTAAAGTAAACGGCTCTCTCTGCTGTTTGCAGTGAGGAACACACTCAATGTTCCAATCCAATCATGGCATAATAGGACATCTCAAGGTACTTTACATAGTTGTAATTAAATGTCTGGGGCACCTAATATAGCTTAGCAATTGATTAATTTGATTGATTGAAAAGCACAGCTGTGTTGTTACCTGTGTGCAGAAGCATGGTCTTAATCCTGCTCTCCTCCAGTGATAGAAAGCCTGATGTCTTTCCACTTCCCTGTGTGTCACGTGGAGGCCCGTCCATCTCACAGGTCAGCACTTTGATTGGTCCCCTGCCTCCCTTCAGGTGGATTTGGATGCCATCCTAAAATTGAAAAAATTCAAAGTGATTAGTTCAGCCAATCAACATCAGACTAATTGGTTTCGAATTGTACAGATTCTGAAACTGTTTATCAGTGCATCATGAGTGAATGCGCATGCATGTACAGCAACAGAGTTGTGTTCACTGGGCACAAAACAGAAGAAAACGGTCCAAAATGGAGAGGTACTACGTGAACTTGTCCAATAAGAAACACACATTTTAGTTGCACAACGGTTTGCTACTGTGTTTCCTAATGAACACGATCAAGGTCTGTAAAAGCTCACACACACCTGTAGGATTGTCAAACGTTTTCCTGCCGACAGTACTTAGCACCTCTGAAAAGTGTCGGCAGTCAATTTCTTTTGTGTTCACACAGCAAAGACCTTGAAGTTGTCAGCCACTCAGCCTTGTTAAAATACTCCAAACCAGAAGGCGGCAGTAGCGTTGTTACTAGTCAATGTTAGCTATAGCTGCACTAATGTTGCTACTGTTGTAGAAAGCCTTTGTTGATACTAGCCAGATGGCCACAGCTAGCAAGATGACAAAGAAACAATGTAATTAACTCTCCATAATCTCGTAAAGCCCATAGATACATTTTTAACTAGCTGGCTAACGTTAGCTAAATTGTTAGCATGATTCGCTAGCTAGCTGTTGTGCTTGCTAAGTAAAGTAAAGACGCTGCATTTACTCTCGGCAGCCAGCTACAGACAGCTGCTTCATGGAAACAAATCAATTGTGATTGAATTGCAATGTTACTAGCTACAGTGGCCAGATAGCTAGAGTAGTAAAGCATTTAGTGTTGTGTGCATTGTGCTGCACTTATTACCACCCCATTCGTTTCATATGAAGTGTGTGTGACTGCCTTGCTCAGTTTGCAAGCTAACGTTTGCTAGCTAGCTAACTAATAAGTGCACATTAGCAAACCTAACTCAAAAATCCCTCCTCAAGCACAACACTCCTTAGACTTCAAAGATGAAGGTTTTAGTTAAAACAAGTCTGATAAAAAGGGTGGATTAGACAGGAAAAAGTACCCTCTTTCTTCCTTATTCTTGTCACTCATGTCGGCTCCCCCACATGGAGGTCAGTGCTCTCTAATTGGCTCAAAGTCAAGTTGTCGGCCACTGCCGAGCATTGCGATTCTACAAGTAGAAACGGCAGTTTCGTCAGTACCAGGTTGGTACACAGCAGGTACGTATTTTGTTCTAGCAAGAGAAGGAACGGCCTCCTACTGTGATAAGTACCCATCGGCAGTCTATCCGCACTCAGATTCTCCGTTGTTTGATGCTTAAAGCAGGGTTGCAGTTGGCCCTCCAGGGCTTACTGTACCTCCTTGGGTGTGGGCACCTCCAGCTTGGTCTCCTCCGGGGCTTTGATGGCAACGACTGTCTGTTCCTGGAACACCTTGATACCACTGATGTCACTGTGGGTCACGTAGGCTAATGTGCAGAGGGAGTTAAAGAGGATACAACAGCAGGAGGATACATAACACACTTGTACTTTAGTAGAGACTGAGGTAACTGAACCAATGTTTGGGCACAGCGTGGTTCATTCCTGATGATTGTGAACTGAAACATAGGTTCATTCACAATTGCACTTTCTCACATGGATTTTACAATGGTGGAAACTTCCTCCAGCCAAAGCCTATACCAATCCTATGCTTTTAAATCCATGATGGCGAGTGTGCAAGTGCACACTTCTGGAAAAGGTTGGAGAATGGAAACGTAACCCATGTAAGAGGTGAAATGAACTGTATGCGTTTCTAAAAGGATATTCTATGTTGTCCAAGCTGTCGGTCATGTCAAAGAGCTGCTGGGCACAGGTCTTGATGAGCTCATCCAGACTCTCCTCCACCGTCTTCAGGTTCTTAAGTTCCCGCTGAAGCCTCTGCTTCGGCCCCACAAAACTGGCAACTGGACACGGACCTCTGGGGAGGGAGAGGGGGAAACCACACAGATCAACCCCTTGCAACCATGCAGAACAGTTTTGTAACAGAACATGAAAATGAGTCTTTCTTATTGGACAAGTTCAGGTAGTCCCTTCCTATTTCAGTCTGTTTTATTCAATTTGGTGCCTAATGAATACGACCCTGCATGAACACATCCTGTCAAAACAGACACATAAGCACAGATGGTGGGAGCACAGACTGGCAAAGAGCCGGTGTGTTCAAGCCGTATTACTCACATCCACTTGATCTTGTTGGCCGATTGTTTCTGGATGAGCTTGATCCCCTCCAGGCAGTTGGTGACGTCATATACCCTCCGCTTGCGTGTGTGGAGGTTCTGTGCTGCAAGGTTGAGGTCCATGACACCATGAGGGGCGCCACTCATTAGCCTTAGGAACTTCTTGGTCAACAGAGCCAAGGATAGATCGTGGCGGACAAATCCCTTCCTGATGTCCGGTAACACTGTCTTGGGTTCAGTGGAAGCACTGACTACAGTAGGAAAAAGGTACAATATTGCTTCAAGCCAAAAAAAGATAATTGATTCCACATTATCTGATTTCCAAATTGTACCCTATCCCCTATATGGTTTACTAAAGGTCCTGGTCAAAAGTAGTGCACTATATAGGGGATAGGGTGCCATTAGGGACGCACACATTGTCCAAGGCAGGGAAGCGGCATTCTTTTTCAGTAATGATGATCACCCATACCTTGTCTTGTCTTTGTCTTGGTGCCTTCAACCAGTTTACGGAACCTAGAGTGAAGATGATACAAAATAACACCATCCACTTAAATAGGCCTCGTTGTTTTCATTCACCTAGAGCGGTGTGTAGAAGTGCACAATGCAAGTGTGCCAGTAGTTAAAAACACAAAAGGATGAATGCTTATTATTGCCATTTTTAGCCTTTATACAGGCTAGAGTGCTGCAACCTTACCTAGATGCAGATGGTGCTGTCTCGGCCTGACTCTCATCATATTCTTCTTCAACATCGTCATTCTGTAAATAAAATACATAGACAGGGGTTGCTAAATGTAAAAACAACGACTTAAATGAACGCAGTAAGAAAGCTGTCGATCAAAGTGATGAGAGCATCCTCACGTGCGTAGCCGAAGCATCATCATCCACGAATTCCTCTTCGTCAGAAGAGTCCTCGCCCCACGGGCTGATCAGACTCAGTGGCCCGTCAAGGTATGGGGGCATTATAGGAATGGCATCCTCGCTTATTCCGAGAGGTGTTATGTGGTCTGTCAGAAAGTGGTCTTCACATATTATGTGATCCTCTGTTGAATCCTCCTTCTCCGTCTCTCGCAGTGCGGCAAGCCACACTTTCACTCGAGCCTGGGCCTTAGGTAAATTGAAAAACCTCTTGGAAGGTCGATTCGGAAACGCTCCTTTATTATTGTCGCTTCGATTAGGACACCCCTGGACCACGCATTTCACCATGGTCAAATGTATGCGGCTAACACCAGCTACATTCGAACGTTTCGTAGCTAAATAAAAATATCACGTTTGTTTGTTTATCTGAAATTCACGTTTCTTGGACAGGGAAAACAATTTAAGGCCGGAAGCTGGCATCACGTGATGATGTTCAGCCAACGAAATTCTTAGAAACGGAAAGGAAGGCAAATTGCTCGTATGATTCTATGAAGTAAGTTGTAGTTTACGATATTGCTTTGCCTCCACCTTCAGGACTGGGGGTGAATAACAGCGATACTGCGAGGGGACAGCAGCTCAGCATCTTATTTTGCGTTCAGTATGCGCGAGGGATACGCGGGAGCAGAGCTTCATATTGAGGACCTGCGCTTAATATAACATTTCAGTATGCTATTTCTAAAGAAATGTTTTATCTTTTAGACTACAGGATAAATTAAATAACATGAATAAAAAGTAGCCTATTTCAACTGGAAACTGAGAATTAAAGATCCACTTAGCCTTTTTATTATTTTAATTCAGTGGCACCAATGCCTATTTAGTGTAGCCTATAAATGGGAATATGTTGCTGATATTGTCGCAAACCATTGCCTAGAGCGGGAATGAGTCGAATCCTTCCCCGCCCAAATTATGGTTGATTTAGGAAGTATTTCCGCCTAAAACGTGCTGTAGAGCAACCGACAGCCAGTAGTGGCCAGCAGCAAACAGCAGCTACAGCGGTGGATGTAGTCGGGGCGAATCGGGGATCCACTCTCAGAGGGGAAGGGGAGTAGAGGGACTCTCTCAACATTCACTGAATCATGGCTACTGAAACAGTGTCACCGGCATGCACTGGATCCAGTTTGCTGCAACCCATAAGTGAAATCATCAATCTCCCTCTCGACCAGGTAAATATGCAATTCCTTGTTATTTCTAGACGCTTTTCTGTTGTATTTCTAGAATTCCGTCGCATGTCCAAAATCGCAGCAAAACCAACATTGTGCAGCCAATTATTTGATTCTCCACTATCAAACAACGAAGATTGGTATTTTTCGCTCAGAGGAAATCATGAATTTGGATTGCTTTGATTCAATCGCGGTTCCACGGGTTATTTCAACACGTTGATGCCATATAGGCATAAGCGCACATTTCGCAATGATTAAATTAAAGGCTCCTTTTAAATGTCACACAAAAATGTCACGTTTAGTCGACAATGAATCTTCGGCCAGCCTTTCAATTAAGTCGTTTATTTGAAGAAAATGTACCGCAGGTTTTTGTGTTCAGAATGTAGCCAGTCTACAAAAATCATATATTTGGATTCACAGCTGACATTGTCCTCTTACTGATCAGGCTATAATGGCTGCGTTCACACAGGCATCCCAATTCTGATCTTTTTTTCCACCACCACCAATCACATCAGATCTTTTCACATAAGATATTTTTCAGAACTGATCTAATTGGCCAAAAGTCCAATTAGTGGGGGGAAAACATTTCAGAATTTGCCTGTCTAAACTCAGCCAATGTTGGCAGTTTTATTTTATGCACAAAAGAAATGACACATTTTCAGTAGCCTAATCAGAGCTGTGGAATAGGCCTATGTGTATTACTGCCAGTGCCAAATCAATCTGTATTTATCATACCTTCAGTTATTACCAAAATTAGGCAATGTATTCATTGCAATGGTTTTCACATAGGTTTAGGCTATGCCCATTCTGATTACCTATATGAAAAAGATCAGTGGAAAAACCTCTCATAATATCCCACATGTCTCTTTCACATTCATAACCAACCAAGTTTGAGTCCATGCTCATTTATGCCATGCAGCTCATTCGTATAGCTAATACATGAAACCCCAGCTACAAACTTGAGTTAAGTGCTGTAATGAACTAGGTAAATGATGGTAAGAGGGAGGCTCTCTCAAGAAGTAAGGTCACATCACGTTTGCATCCCAAATGGCACCATATTCCCTATGTAGTGCACTACTTTTGACCAGAGCCCTATAGGCGCTATATAGGGAATAGGGTGCCATTAGGGACACACCACACATCTTTGGGATTGGAATCCTGCCTGTTATTGGCCAAGCATCAGCTGTTCCCTCTGATTGCCTCCTTGTCATAAATCTGTGAGAATTAAGAAATGTTCTCCCCACTCCTGGCCTGTTTGCCACTTTAAAACCTAGGTGGTTATAGTATATTGCCTAGTGCTGCCTGACCTCTTTGTTTACAATCAACACACCTTGTTCCTTTTCTCACACCCTATGAGCCCTGGTCAAAAGTAGTATAAGGGAATAGGGTACCAGTTGGGCACAATCAAGAGGATGTATTGTTGTACTTCTGCTTTCTCTCAAACAATACAAGATACACTGTAGTTGCCAGCAAATGCTCCTACAGTATTTATGAAGGGAATGTGAACGCAGCAGTGAGTCGTCTGAACAACTGTCTATTCCACTTAACTCCTCCATGTGGAGAGGTATCTGGTGTGCTTGTTTGGTGACTACATTGAGTCTGCTCTATTGAGTATTCACTGAGTATGTCCATTGATCTCTGTGGTACAGCTTTGGCTCTACGTACTGATGGCCTACCTTACAAACTGTTGCTTCATACTCCCTCGGATGTGTTGCATTTATATAGAATGATCTTTCTACAATGCTTATCTTTGGCCTCTTTGTACCTAAACCTAATTGTGACAGCCACTGTCTTCCAGAATACCATCAAGTTATAAATGTATAGCTGCTGATCAACATTTATTTAATGGTCTCTTTCCCTTCTCTCGCTGATGGTAGATCTTTCAGTTGTCTCTGATGACAGAAGTTGTTACTAATCTATTAAGTGATCTTGTTCTCTAGGCAGGCAGTAAAATGAGCCCTGGGTCTGCTACGGATCCTCTAACATTACTCCCTCTTCCATAGACACTGGGCTGTAGTTACAGCCTGCAGATCCGTGGCTCGCCAATGCAATGCAAAGATGCCATCTACGGACTGTAGGCCCTAGACTGAGGTCTGTTCACTGTGTGGTCTGGGTCATTTCACCACTCCTCAATGTTTAGAGAGCTCCCTGACTATTGGACTTTCCTCATCAGATGGTGATTCTCCTGTACTGTATTGGCTGTAGATGTTTGCTGGTTAGAAGATGACTTTATGGTCAATTTACTACGTTCTCCCCAGTAGACATTCACTGATACAGTACATACAGTACATATTGCTATCAGGGTAGGTAGCGAGTGATTTTGCCCACTGTTGTCTTGTAGTAGGCCTTGTAGATGGATAGGGAGTATTACTCCTTTGGCCCCCCCAGTTCAGAAAAAATGTAATGTGTGCCTTCTTGCTTCATTGCTGTAGGGATAGGATGCAGGATCCATACAATGATATCCCATTTATTTAGCCTACAACAGAGGTTGTAGATACCCAAATTTGTATTTTTTCTTCCTATGTCACCTTGAAAATAACAAGTGTATCAGATATCCATATTGACTAAAATTCTCTCGCTCTCACTCTCGCTCTCTCTGACTTCAAGATGATATTTGCCTGAGAAATTCCACAGCAATGTAAGAGTAATTGAGTCAGTCATAGGGGCTGCGGTACAATCCATCAGAGACAGTGGCAGACTAACATTTCTTATGTTCCCCTAGTTACAGTATGGTGTTTTAATGACATGCTCAAGTGATGTTACTGTGGAAACGACTTGCTATAAGCTAGAAACGGAAGTGAAAGAACCAAAAAATGAGCGTCTCCAGGGATCTTCCTGTGGTCTAAGCCAGTTTTACTTCAGACTTCTCCTATGAAAAGAGACAGGCTGTGTCCCAAATGGCACCCTATTCCCTTTATAGTGCACTACTTTTGACCCGAGCCCTATTGGCACTTAATAGTGTGCCATTTGGGACACAAACACAGTCTGGTTTTTGCTTGGCCATACCCAGCAACACTGTCATAGTAAGCTGATTTAGTGTAAGGGATTTGTCCAGGGGGAAAAGGGTATCTGCAGCTATAAGTTATAGGCCTCCTAGCTCTTACTGCAAACCCTGGCCAGGGGCAGAAGACTTCTGTAATATCAAAGGGGTAATAACACTTGGGCATGTCAGAAGACATGGACTGCGTTCTAAATGTCACCCTATTCCCTACATAGTGCACTACTTTTGACCAGGAGCCTATGGGTAAAAAATACTGTACTATATAGGGAATAGGGTGCCATTTGGGACACACAAACATAGTCCTGCCTAGCCCCATGGAATCCCCCCCATCACCCTGTGCAGATGAGCTGCTCCAAGGATGAGCCATGGACTGCGTCCCAAATGGCATTATATTCCCTATATAGTGTACTACTTTTGACCAGGGCCCTACATAGGGAATAGGGTGCCATTTGGGACGCAGCCATGCTCATGCTCTGCTCATGTCTCTGAGACTCCCACATGCTCAACCAGAGTTCACTTATTCATTGTGGTCTAAAAGGCTAAACTGAATCTAGATGGGCACTCTAAGCTGCTTAATACGGTTCCAGAGCTGTGGTTTAATGGTTCTGCTGTTTCAATGGAAGTGTATTCCCTATGGGCAAGTTCCATTTACACCTTTGACTATGGTGGTATAGAAGCAAACTTGGTTACCGGTACTTTCACACATGCAGCACAATTGACACATCCTGAGTGTGAGATGTGTCACAAGCACTGCTGTTGAACTATTGCAGTGAATATTTTAGCAAGCAGATGAGCTCAAGCTTATTGCATTAGCTGTGTGTGTGTCTGTGTCTGTGCAAGTGCATAAATGTGTTTGTGTGTGCGCATGAGAGAATATTTTGTGCCAAGCCATAAATGGTGGTGTTCCCCATCAAAATAGTTTTTGCCTGAGTTTGCTGTCCAACACCCTGGTAGCGCAGTGAGAAGGAATGTGCTCAAGGAGTAGACGAAGGCTATCTGGCACAGTGACTGCATCCCAAATGGCAACCTATTCCCTGCATAGTGCACTACTTTTGACCAGACCCATATTCCCTATGGGCCCTGGTCAAAAGTAGTGCACTAAATAGAGAATAGGGTGCCATTTGGGATGCAGTCACTGTGTGACCTTTACTTAACCACGGGAATGTAACCAACTAAAGACAGAACATGGAGCTAATAATGCTGACTGCTCATTTTAATAACTCCACTCAACACAATTAAGTCATACAAAAGTTTTACTGTGCGTGAA